CCTAGCAACAAAGGAATACGATAGAAATTACAAATCTCATGTTGAGCGACAACCAACGAGAGCAGAATCAATCACAAAACAATACAAATACAGGACAGCTAGAAATTGAAGGAGGGGAACAAGCCGGCAGTTCCTCTTCCTTTGTTGTCTACCCGTTGGCTGAGTAAGATACGATCGACTTGTTTTCTTCAGTGCTTTAAGCTCTTTCTTTACAGAACATTAAAAGTACACTGACTTCAAAGATGTTGTGATGTTATTTTTAGAGCTGGGTTTTCGTGTTAAGTTCAGGTGGTGTGTTCGGTACAGTTTTAGAAACTGTTCTTCATCAGAGAAATCATTAGGCCTACATTTTAACACCCAACCGACTTTCACATTTTCTTTTATTTTCTTTTTCCCCCCCTTCACCTCCATTTTGCCTTCAAAGAAACCATTAGCCTGTGGTTCTCCGTGTGAAATAATGTCCCGTTTTACATCTGCTGTCCCGGGTGGCTTACGCAGCGCCCCCACCCTGCAACAGCCCGCACCGCCCTAGCCCACCGCGTCACGCGTGTGTGTCATTGCCCTTTGGCGCTGCTCGATCACATCCTTGAAGTGATAGAGGCCCTTCAGATCGCGGTCTTTTGTTGTGATATTGCCGAGACACACACACACACACACACACACACACACACACACACCACCACCACCAGCACCACCACCACACACACCACACACCAGAGCACACATTGAAATGAAGGAATACACAAGAGGTAGGATATAAAAATGTCTGTGTGCGCACAGGCTCCAGCGCGTTTTGAAGCGGCTGAATGCCCCGGGTGGTTTGGCTACATTACCATAATAAATCTGTTTGTCACCGCCGGCTTCAACTCCGGCCATTACTATGTGCTCATTCTCGCCGATCCAAAAATCAGTGCATCTACTAACGCTCCCCCCCCCCCCTCAACCCACTAGCGCGCGCACAAACTCATCCAAGCTTATACAAGCCTGTCTGTCTGACTACGTTGTCGCTTTTTTGTGTAGGATTGTCTTATCTGTGCGTGATAGTCTGTATGACTGTAGGTGTGATTGGCTGTCTACCTGTTTGCCTTTTCCTCTTTCCTGTCCTGCTACACGGGCCAAGATCGGCTGTCTCTGCATGTCCCTTCTGATATGATATATGAAGCTGTTCTACGCTATCATGAGTCTGTCAACGCCATCACATTGTTAGATTGTTTGAACCCTCACC